CGGAGACCCGCCAGGACCCCCGGGGTAATCTTACCCGCAGGACCCCCCCCTTGTTTCCTCATCCCCTGCACCCCCCATCCCCCCGTCAGAGGAGGACAAGGGGATCGTTTTTTCCTCGATCTTTCCTTTTTCTGTTCGTTCTTGATTTTTTTGGGGGATTGGCGACGACAACGACGACGAAGACGACGACGTCTCGCACACGCTTTTTGATGACGACGATGCCCACGAGCACGCATGGAACCCAAGGGGGCGATGCTGCCTGACGCCCCCAGGGCGTTTGTTAACCGCCAGCCTGCACTCGGGAACGAGCCTAGACGGCACGGACGTCCAGGGCGACCTTTCTTTCACCTGCCCCCCTGGCCCTACCCATCCTGACCTTTTTCTCCAGCGTCGCAGTTTCTTCGTGACGTTGGTTCCCCGGGATCCCCCCGATCATTCCCCAAGGACATTTTCACCCCGAGTCCCGAGTCGTGTCGGACGGTTTTGGGGCCAGAAGCGAGCCAGAGAAGCCGAAAATTACGGACATCTGGCCGTCGCGATCGTTTGGCGTCGCCCAGGTCTGAGCCCCCCCCGCTCCACGACCCCCCGGCCATCCTCACGGCCAGCGCTCCAGAGGGGGGCGCGCCTGCGCCCAGGGCGCGGTGGTGCGGCGGCTGCCTGCGTTTCCGCAGGAAGAAGGAGCTGCCGCTTGGGTGCTGCGGTTGCGGGGCCGGCTACTGTTCCGAGGGGTGCAGGGACCGCGCGACACGCATGGGCCTCCGGACGCCGGCGGCGTGCCGGGCACAATCCATGCTGGTGTCGTCGGACGGGCTTCGAAAAAGAACGTCAGGGACCATTTTAGGGGGGGATGGGCTCAGGAGACGCAACGACCCCCGATCGCCCAGTCAGCGCTGATAGCAAGATGCAGAAAGAGAAGTGCTAAAAAAACACGCCAATGCATTATACTTGGGGAACCTTTTATCGACCCCTCTTCTCGTCTATAGAACTACATTGTTCCTGGCCCCCTGGAAGTGATGTCCTGCTCCCGGACCCCTCACTACGGGATCCTACCAAGATCCTGACAGGATTCCAACAACACCCAATCGGATTCAAATGAGAGCCCATTTCTTGCTTTCGTTCTATGATCGTTTTAAAGTTTCTCTGGGCTGTCTCAGGAAATTGGACTGTCCGCAGGCTCATGCCTTCGAAGAAGCCGTCTTGGGGCCTTACTCGTTACCCCCCCCGCGAAACTATGTATTAACGTTTCGATGCTAAGCGATCTCGCTCGGCTGTTCCCCCCACCCTCTGGTTTTAAACCATTCATGTACATGCTACGGATAACGCTGGGGGGGTCGGTAATTCGCTCCCAAGGTTGCCTTTTTGGAGGTCCGCCCAGATCTCTCGGATCGGGGCTGGGCCCCCCCTGCGGCGCCTTCGGCGCGGCCCCCGGCGCTGCCCCTGGCGCGCTCCGCGTGCCTGGGAAGGGGGTCCAGCGCCGGCCTACGAGATCCGCACGGAGTTCTGACAATTTCTGTCTGTGCCGATGTTGCGTCCTCTCCGCAGTTTCCGAGGGATTTCCTGGAGGCCTTTGGGGCCTCTTGGGAGGCCCCTGCCTTCTCAGACGACCGCCCCCCCCGCGCCAAGTCATCCGCGCGGGCCCCCAGAATTCTGTGCTTATCACAGTCAAGACGCTCAAGGATTGATGTGGGCGCTGGAGGGGCTTCGGTTTTCGGACCGTTACGTATTCCGATCTAGGCGAGGGAACCTATTCGTAGCTCAGGCTCGCCGTGGTCAGAAGAGCCGTGTCGTGGCTCGTCTGGCGTTCCTTGTGGCAGCACGGTGGCTGTATGCTGGCCCCTCTCCTTCCAGGACTGTGGCTTGTCGCCCGAGGACAGGGCGAGCGCCGGGCTGCTCGTGAGCATCACCGCCCGCGCCGTCGCGCTGCCGCAGCTGGGCGGCCTGGAGCCCGATTTTGGCCACGTCCTGTCCCTGGCGATGCTGCCAGAGCGGCTGGCGCCGCAGGCCGAAGATCGGCGGCAACGGGGGGGGTGGGCAAGGAGCGTGGGGGGAACGGGGACTGCAGGCAGGTGGCCTTGAAGGGGCCCGGAACGGATCCTGAGCTGCCACCGCGTGCCCGACATGTGCACAAACAGGGTGCGCTTCTTCACCCCATGTGAAGTGCCCCCCCATCAACGAACACCCGAGGCTGATAGAACCCCCACCCTGCCGAGTCACGGATTGCCCTATTTCAGTGCTCGAGGAGGTGGTGTGGTCGCCTTTGCTCTGCGGGCCTGCGCAAGCCGGGCCTGGTCCTGGGCCTGGGAGGATGTTATGCTGAAGGGGGTGTTGTCGGCCCCCAGAATAACAAGTCGAAGGTCCGCGCGGATGTCTTGGATCGGCGCTTGATCCTATTCCTTTTAGTCCATTCCTCTTCCTCCTTCTTCTCCTCCTCTTCCTTCTCCTCCTCCTCCTTCTCCTCCTCTCTGCTTCTGTGGAGTAATTAGCGTGGGCACTGGCGTTGAGGACAGGCGGTTTCATCGAATGCTTCCTCTTCCCCTCTTCTCCTAGTCGGGGGCCTGGCTGATTGCTATTGGGCCTGGCTGGGCCCATCCTGGGTGCAGGATCGGCGCATATTCGAAGCGGAGACTGCGGCATAGACATAGTGTTGTCGGTTCGGGCGGATCTCTTGCATCGGCGCCGGACACCCTGCCCTGGCGCGTGGGTTCGGGGCCGGAGGCAGGGGCTCCAGCGCCGATCCAAGAAATTCGCGCGGTCGTCCGGTCATGGGGGACCTTCTAGCGCAGTTGTGTACCCAGGCGCAGCCGGTTCGATTCAACTCCGATTCCCTTCCGATTTGGCCCGATTCGATGTTCGTTCCGTTCCAGCCGACGTCATCGGTTCGATGCGGACCGCCCCCGCAGGCGATCGAGGGCGAGCATTGCGCCGCGAGGGAGGCGGCGTGGCTGGACAAGGCCTCGCGCGAGGACGCGGAGTCCCTCGGCGTCGCCAAAGCCGCCGCCGCGGCGCTGCGGGCCTCGGGGCTGGTGCCCCCCGCGGGCCTCCTGCTCGCGGGCGGTGGCGCCGCGGAGCGCCTGGCCCCGGCGGCGCTGGGCGAGCCGGGGAGTCTGGAGCGCCTGCTCCTCGAGGTACACGCCAGGATCTGCTGCAACAGCTTCGGCCTCTCTGCCGGCGCGGCGGACGACGGCGAGCCTGCGCTGGAGGGCTGGGGCCTCTGGCCCGCCGCCTCGCTCTTCAATCACGACTGCATGCCCACGCTCTACATCGAGCACGGCAGAAAGGCGGGCGACCACGGGCAGCTGGTGTTCCGGGCCCTGCGCGGGGTGGCCGCCGGCTCGCACCTGACGATATCGTACGGCAGGGCCGGTGGCCGGCAGACCGCGCAGGCCCGCGCCAGGACCATGCGCGAGGTCTGGCGCTTCGAGTGCAGGTGCGAGTACTGCCGGGGCGCGGCCTCGCCCGAGGCCTCCGCCGCCTTCTTCGAGCGCTTCCGCTGCAACGGCTGCTACTCCATCGGCCCCGCGCGCGGCGCCGCAGGCTGCGGGGGGGCCCGCGCGAAGAAGGGCTGCTCGTGCCAATCAGCCTCCAACCGACTCGCCAACTGACTCCCCTTCGTGGCGCATTGACGCGGCGTCTGCGCCTGCGGCGCCGGCGCCCGTCCCAAGCAGCAGGCGGGGCGCCGCGGTGCGGGAGGGTCCGCGCGCGAAGAGGTTGCTCGGGCCATGCCGGCCCGCGACCGACTCGGCAGCTGGCGCGGCGCCTGCGCTGGCGGCCGCCCGCGCAAGCTAGCGGCGGCACGCGGCAGGGTTCTCCGGCGGAGCTCGGGATCCTTTCTCAGAGGTCAAGGTCTCAATCTGGAGGCTCCCAAGGCATTGACGTCGTTCTGCAGGAGCCGATGTGTCAGGGACCCGGCGATCAGAGAGTAGCGGGGTTTCGTCCAGCCTCGCGCCTGTCAGGCAAACAATTGCATGACAGCCGTCATTGAGTTCGCTGACTTTTTTGCCAGCCTACCTTGGACCAAGAGAAGTGTTTATCTCGTCGGACTTCCTCAACGTCCTGCTTGGCCTGCAGGCCGAAGTGCTGCACATCTGCACATGTGCAAGCTTGCGCCGTGTGCTGCTTCGTTTCCCCACTCGGTACCCATCTGTTTCACGCCTACCTTCACTCGTTCTGCATCTCCCTCTGATTACCTGTCGGTTGCCCTTGCACCATACTTCACGCGTCCTCTGGCGCAGCGCTCACGCCTCGGGCCATGAATGCGCCAACTCCTCTTTGATGCTGGCCCCCGCTTCAGCGTTTTCGATTGTACAGAGGCCCGCTGTACAGTAGATCCCCGTTCTGCCTGGCGGACGTGGTGCCACAGCGCAGCGTGCCATTCTTTCTGGAGTCGTCCGGCTCGTCGGCCCACAGCGGCTTCGCCTGCACGTGCAGCAGGCCGAAGGGACTTAAGCATGCCGATGCCAGACGTCTCTTCAGGAACAAAACAATTGCATACAATTGGCACGAGGACTACGTCAGAACAACTCCTTCTTATGAGGGGTAATACGATGTTGCCTGACTTTGCGCTTTCCGCCCCCCACGCTGATCCACGTTCTGGGCACCTCCATGGGTTCTTGTGCCTTCGGCGCAGGAGCTCTTGTTCTTGACCCACGTTCTTATGGCAATGTTCTGACTGTAGACTCAGTTTTTCCGAGGTGGTTCGTGCCGACGTCTTGGGTCGGCGTTGGACAACCTTTCACCTGGGGTGCGAAACTCGCCGGCTTCGGCCCAAGACATCCTACACAAAAACCCTGCGCGGAACCCAGAAATCTGCGCGAAGCTCGCCAACAAGGGCCCAGCACCGACTCAAGAAATCCGCAAGGGCTTCCGAGTGCCTATTTAGTCTATGTATGTTTATCCAGCTGCCTGCGGCAAGTCCCGCCACTGTGCCAGGTGAGCACTTTTGTTCGAGGGTGGGAAAGTTATGATGCTGCTGCTGCTGCTGATGGTGATGATGCTGCTGATGCTGATGCTGATGCTGATGCTGATGCTGGTGCTGGTGCTGGTGCTGGTGCTGGTGCTGGCGATGGTGATTGTGATGGTGATGGTGATGATGGTCATGGTGATGATGGTCATGGTGATGGTGATGATGATGATGCTGATGATGCTGATGATGATGATGATGATGCTGATGGTTTCGCGGATACTGATGATGGTGTTGATGATGGTGGTGATCAGAGTTATGAAGATAACTGTGACGATGTGTCATTGTGATGGCGATGATGCTGCTGATGGTGATGCTGATGGTGACGACGACGATGATGATGCTGATGATGAAGATGGTGCCTATGATGCTGATGCCGATGATGATGATGATGCTGGTGACGATGATGTCGATTCTGATGGTGGCGATGATGATGATAGCGACGACGATGATGATGCTGATGAAGATGATGACGACCGCGACGCCGACGCTGACGACGACGATGATGATGGTGCTGAAGACGATGATGATGATGGTGATAATGCTAATGATATCTATGATTAAGATGATGGGATGATGGTGATGATTCTGATGATGACGATGACGATCACAGTGATGGTGCTGGCGATGGTGGTGGTGATGTTGATGACGACGCTGATGAGGAGGGGATTGAGGATGAAGAGGAGGTGGCTGAGTGTTGTTGATATAGTCGATCTTGAGGCTGTCGAGGCCCACGATGTTGCTGATGGTGATGCGGATAGACATGAGGATGGCGATGACGGTGATGGTGTTCAAGATGTTGTTCGTAATGAGTATGATGATGGTGATGCTACTGCTGATGATGGTGGTGGTGATGAGGGTGACCATGATGTTGATGGTGGCACTGATGATACTGATGTTGTTGATGATGGTGCTGCTGATGATGAGGATGCTGTTTCTGAGGATGGAGACATTAGTGATGATGATGATAATACTGATATGATGATGATGATGCTCATGATGATGATGATGATGCTCATGATGATGTGGAGGATGATGACGATGACGATTGTGGTGATGATGCTGATGATGACTGATGATGATGGTGATGGTGATGGTGATGGTGATGATGTTGATGCCGATGATGATGATGATGATGATGATGATGATGATGATGATGAGGATTATGATGATGATGATGCTGATGATGCTGATGGCCATGGTGATGGTGATGGTGTTGATCATGATGTTGATGATGATGATGATGATGATGATGATGATGCTGCTGCTGCTGATGATGATGATGATGATGATGATGATGCTGATGGCTCAAGCTACCTGACTCAAGTGGCCCAAGCTATCACGTCTCGCTCAGGACCTCTCTTTCGGCTCGCTCACCACGTGCGCCGTTCCATAACTTTCCAAGCGCTAAAACACGAGGCAGCCATGGCCCCGTCGCAGCTGGTGGCCGCTGGGCGCTTCCTTGCGCCGGCGGCGGGGGCCCGCGGCCGACCAGAGCCCGCCGACGTGGAGCACTCGCGGTGGGCCCTGGCCCCAACGTGCTGGCCGGCGGCGCAGCGGCGCTAGGCCTGCAGCGGTCCAGGCGCCCGGACCAGTGCGCGGGCGCCTGTGGGGCCTGGGTCGTGGCTTGCGCCCGCGGCGGGGAGGCCGCAACGGCGTGATGTCGAAGGTGTGCGGCAAGAGCGCGTCCCAGGGCGAGTTGATCGGGGGGCTCGCGGACGCGGGTGCCCCGTGCCAGGGGTCTTCTCCACGACGGCCCAGGCGTACAGGGACTTCCTCCAGCAGGGCGGCCTGGACGACAGGATCAACGAAATCCCCGATGACGAGGGCATCTACACCGATGTGACCAAGCTGCAAGAGGTGGGCAACGAGGTTCGCCAGATGATCACGGATCAACCCCCAAAGGTCGAGTTCGAGGACGAACTGAAGCGGCAGTGGGAGCGTGTCTCCCAGGGGAACGAGGGCTTCACGCTTGCCGTGCGTTCTTCGGCCCCCGCGAAAGACTTCACAGACGTCCCGTGATTGGCCAGCACGAGACGTACCTCAACGTGTCCGGGTACGAGAAGTTGAAGGAGAAGGTGCACCAGTGTTACGCCTCCCTCGTCACAGATCGCGCCGTCCCCTACCGCCACGACGAGGGCTTCGACAACCGCACGGTCCAGCTACGCGCCTGAGTCCAGAAGATGGTCCGCAGCGAGGCGGCCTCCGCCGGCGTGATGTTCACGCTCGACACCGAGTCTGGATTCCAAGACGTCGTCTTCGTCACCTTGGCGTGGGGCTTCGGCGAGACTGCGGCCGGAAGGACCGTCAACATCGACGAGTTGTACGTCTTCAAGCCGACGCCGCGGGAGGGCGCGGAGGCCGTAGTCTCCAAGACGATTGGCTCCAAGCTCGCCAAGATAGTGTACGCCAAGGCGGCGGCAACGAGACCATCAGTACCACCCCCGAGAGGCGTGCTGGCCGCTTTCGGAGTCGCCCCAGGATCAGTTTCAGAGCGCCGCGCCATTGGTGACCAGTTCCTTGGCACCTGCAACAGTCAGGTGCCGCACAGTGTCGGACGCGATTGCGTGCGTAATCTGTTGTGTAGTTATTTGTCACACAGCGCGGACTCTTTGAATTGAGCACGCAGCTGCCCCCCCCCGGCGCGCGGGCCCGGCTGCGCGGCCGTGAAACATGAGCCAGCTCGCCTTCCAGGGTTGCCCTTCGCACGCTTGTTGTCGTGTTTTTCTTGTCATGCGCTGACGCGCGCACAGCGTGGGCCACCCCCTTGGTGCGCGGAGCCCGCCCGACGCCTCCACTCCGCGGCTGCGGGCCGCGGCACTTTGGCCAGCTCGCCGCCCAGGGGTGGCCCTTTGCGCGTAGTTTATCGGGTCAGAATGACGGAGTTATTGCTTGGCACAAATCCGCCCGCGTTGGTAACGACCCCGCGGCTGGCCGCGGGGGCGCCCTCGCTCGGCTGGTCGGCCGCGCGCTGGCCGACCCGATTCCGCCTCCTGTTCGCGTCGTGCGGTGCGTTGCTGTGCCGTGCTTCCTCCGCCTGGTATTGGGACGGGATATAAATACCGTGCCGTGTGTCGGGTTTCGGCCCTCCGCACGCTGGGGCTTCGTTCGGCCCATAGTGGCTCCGTTCGGCCCATTGTGGCTTCGTTGCGGCCCGTAGCGGCCTGCTGCGTTCACTTGCCCAATGGGGCCCTCTCGTCAGGTCCATAGTGACCAGGTGCTGTCGTTGGGCTGACCACAGTGGCTCAGGGGGGCTTGCTGCGTTGTGCCCCTTGTGGCCCAAAGTGGCCATCAGCTGACGTGCAGCTCTCCTCTCGTCCTCATGGTGCGCCCGCATGCAGGCGCGCGGGCTTCAGCTGGCGCGCGGCTCACGCCGTCGCGCGGGATTCTTGCGCGCGCCCCGTGGCGCTGAGCTTGCGTTGGCGATGCTTGCCCTCTTGCAAGCCGACGCTATTGTTGGCGCGAAGTGGAGTGATATCCAGTTCAACGGCGCGGTCGGTTGTCTGGCAGCCACTAGGCTGATGACGCCAGGAGATCTGGCCAACATTCACTTCGAGGATTTGAAGGACACCGTCGGCGCGCCAGCGCTGACGAAGGGCGCCCTGAGGCGCGCTTTGGATCGCGCGACGGCGGCGGGCGCCAAGGCGAGTTCGCCGGGGGCCGCGGGGCCCGCGCGGGCCTCGGCGCGTTGTTTCGTTTCGGTTGCTGCAGAATCTTCGTCCCGCGCCGAAGGGCGAACGTGTCGACGTCGGTGCGGGCCTGGCCCAGGTCACCCTGAGGGACCTTCCGCAGTCCCTGTGGCCGAGGCTGCTGCGCGGCTTCGCCCTGGCGCGCTGGCGCGCTTCCTGCGTTCGCTCAGGTCGGCGAAGACCGATGCGCTGGCCACCGAGGCGCAGCGCGCCAAAGCGAGGGGCATCGCACGCCCGTTCATTTATACAGGGCTCGCGAAGTTTCAGCCGCTATGCGCGCGCGGCGCGGGCGGCCCCCTCGACGATGACGAGCCCGATTCCAAAGAAGCAGCCGCGTTGGCCAGAGCGCTCGGGCGAGGAACCGCGGCGGCGAGTCAGTCGCTTCTGGCGCGGGCGCCACGGCACCGAGCTTTCGACGCGCGGGGCGTGGCGGCGGCGGTCACATATCAGATCGCGCACGCGAGCGCCATGGCCCACGCGCGCGCTGTTCTTCAGGCGAGTCGACATTGGCGCCCGTCCGTTGGTCGCCGGCGAGAGCGCGCTAGCCCGGGTTGCACCGGGCGCCCCCCTGCAGGGGCGGAAGGCCCAGGTTGCCTTTTTTCAACGACCGCATCGTGCGGAGGACGTGGGCCGAGCGCGCCGCTGCCGGCGCGGCAGGCTTCCAGGCGGCAGTTTCGCGCCATGATTCAGCGCGATATTCTCGGGCGCGCGTCGGCGCGCAGGTGAACCTTGCTGCGCTGTCGCTTGGCAGCGGGCCGCTCCGCGCGGCGGAAGCGGAATGCGGTCGGGCCCTTTCAAGCCGCATTGCCGAATCCCCCTTTTCTCGAGTTGCGCCGCCACCGTCGCGCAGGTTGCTGAGCCAGTCGGCAAGGGAGCAGGAAACTGCGCCGCGGCGGCGCGCGGGCAGAGTGCGAGCGCCGCGGGCGTCGCGGGGGGCGCCGCCGTCACCTCCTGACCGCGAGCCGAGAGCCGACGGGTGGCATTCCCGCGTTTTTTTCCGTGGGGGGCGCAACAAGCGCTTCTGGGATTCGCGGACGGTGCATTCACCACAGAAGAAGCCGCGCGCTCGGCGCCCGCCGGTGGCACGCGCAGCCCGCGGCGCGCGGCGATGTGCGGGGCGCGCGCCAAATGAGGATGCGCATCTCGCGCCACGTCGGCATTTGTATAACGACGAATGGGCGCCAACCGTGGCCACCGCCCCGCGGGGCCCGCAGGCGCGCGCGCGCCGGCAGGAGGTCGCTGCGATGGTGCCGCGTCGGCCAGGGCTTGGGCGCCAGTTAACACTCGCGGCCCGGTTGTGACGCGAGGGCCGCCCGCCCGCTGGGCCAGGAGGCGCGCGAACGCCCCGCGGCAGGCTCGCGCGCTCGCGCTCGCAAAGCGCAGGAAGCGACAGGGCTCAGTGTCGCTGCCACATGGGATTATCATGCGCTCTGCGTTGTGGCGCGCGACGCTCGCGGGCTAGCGCGCCCCGCGGAATGCTGCCTCGAGCGCGCGCGGTTGCGCGCCGGCCAATGCCGGCTGCTGTCGCCTGCCGTCGCCTTCGACTGCTGAGGAAGCGCCTGAGCTAGCCTTTCTTGAAGAGGTCCTCTCTCGTTCTCACGCCCTCGAGGGCAAAGAGGCCTTTGAAAAGGCCGCGGCGGTGCCCAGCGACATTTCGGCGGCGATCGATTGGATTGCTGCGCGCTCGGAGCCGCAGGTGCGGCGTGAGCGGCGAGCGACCCTCGAGCGAATTCGGGCCAGGGACGTCGAGCTACGCGCCTCTGGAGCGACGGCGGCCTGGTTTGCGGGCTGCGATGCCAATGTGCGCGCAATCGCAGGGCCGATCAACGGTCCCCTTCTCGTCGAATTGTTCGACGAAATCGGCTACGAGGGCGCGGCCTGCGCGTGAGTTTTTCGGCGCGGCGCGCCTCTCGTGGGCCCGCTCCCGCGCGCGGGGAACGGGCGGCCGGTCAATCTGCCGGAATCGACCGCAGGAGCGGCGCGAGGCAACGCCGCGCTGCTCGGCGACACCGCCCAGATTCTCACCAAAACTGTCGCCGAAGCGGAGCTCGGCCGAACGAGCCATCCCGCGCCGATCAACGCGGTCGAGCTCGACGAGGCTGTTTTGACGCCGCGGTTCGGCGTTTGGCAAACGAGAGAGGACGGCTCCGAGAAGCTGCGGCTCGTCGACGATACGTCGCGCTCTCGCATCAACGCCGTCTCAGCCGACGGAGCGTCTCGGCCATGAGTCCATTGACGCTCTCTTCGGCACTTGCAAAGGATTTGTGGCGCGCGTGGGCGAAGCGCCCGGGCTCTGGAAGGCGGACATTGACGCCGCGTTCCGGCGCGTGCCGCTGATGCCGGAGCATCGCGCCTTCGCGTGGGCCGCCTTCCTCGCGGGCACCTGCGTCTACGTGGCTCGGCACTTCGCCGCCCCATTCGGTGCGACTTCCTCCGTTCGCATTGGGGGGCGCATCGGCGCGATGCTGACGGCGCTGGGCCGCAGGCTCCTCTTCGTTCCCGTCCTTCGATCTGTGGGCGATTTCTTTTGCCCTGAACGGAAGACAGGGCTGCGCGACGCAATGCGACAGTTCGCCGAACTGGTAAGAGTCATTATCGGTCCGAGCGCCGTGGCCGACGGTAAGCTGTTGTTCGGCAATCCGATCGGAGTCCCAGGTTTGTCTGTGGCGATTGACGAGCGAGGCCTCGTGCGTTGGCCGCTGCCGGATGCGCGCCCGGTGGCGCGCCGAGATCGCCGCTGCCCTTCGAGAGGGCACGCTCGAGCGCGGGCGCGCGTCCAAGTTGGCAGGCCGCTTCTGTTGGGCCGCCTCTCACACCTTCGGGCGGTTCGGGCGCGCGCTGCCCCCGCCGTTGTTTGGGCGCGCGAGGGCGCGCCATCCGAGCATCCTGGCGCGCCTGCGAGTCTGTCTGCAATGGTGGCACGAAACACTCGCCAACAGTATCACCACAACTCGTGAGTGGCAGGCGCCAGACACCAGGTCTGCACAACTGCTCTCCGACGCGCGGGCCCATCCAGCCAGGGTGGCCGCGGTCCTTTTCATTGACGGGCGCATTGTCTTCACCGACGAGAGGCGCGACAATCAAATCGGCGCCCTTGAGGTGCTCAGCATCGCGCTGGGCCTGGCCACCTTCGAGCCGCTCCTGCCGGGCCGTTGCGTGAACATCTTTTCGCATAATTCAGGCAGCGAGTGGGCCGTCCGGTCCGGTGCGGAGAAGCAGTTTGACCACGCTTGCCTGTTCCACTCAATCTGGCGCATGGCCCTGGGAGCGAATTGCAATCTACACGTTCGTCGCGTGGCGTCGGCGGACAATATCGCCGACCTGCCCTCGCGCCAGTCGTACTCCCTGCTGCGTCGCATGGGGGCGGAGTGGATTCCCCCGGTGCTGGGCGACGCGTGGTTCGACCCGAGTGCGCGGCCCCCTCATCGCAGGCCCTGACTGGCTCGGGCGCCGGGCACGTGTGCATTGCATTTGGCTTTCCCTCATCGGTCAGGGCGCGCCCGCCAGGCCGGGCAGGTGTCGGTGTCCTCTCTCGCGCACGTCGCGGTCGCGATTCGCCCTGCGCGCGCGCGAACATCTCTGCATTGTCGGCGCACCTTGTGAATTTCTTCGGTGTTCGCGTGATGGAGCTGGCTGGATTGATCGCTCAGCTTCGCGCGGTTTGCCCTGAGGCACGCCCTATTCCTGTGTTCGCTGCTGCCGCGCTGCTTGCCGACGACGGCGCCGGCGCCGCGCGCGATTTGGTTGACGTCGCCGTGGCAGACTTCAGGGGCGCCGCGGCATTATCTAGCGACGCCCGCGAGGTGGTCCGCGCGGCTATCGCGGCAGCCCAGCGCGGCGGCACGCCAGCT